CCATTTTTTTGTTTTCTGTTATTTTGAAAGTGTAAATGATGGAAATAAAATCTAACTTTTGTTGAAATATTATAAGAATGTCTAATCTGTAATTTGATGCCTTTTGGAGATTTTTCCATCTTTCCTTGGCTTCTTTATGCACATTAATACACATTTTTAGCTGGGGTGCCCAAACTTTCGATCCCCACTGTATAAGAATTGATGCTGATTTGACGCCAAAATATAGTCACATCAAATATTGATTTTAGATTTTTCTGCAGTTTGTTCACTTTGCATTTTGTAAATTGAAAAAAAACAACAAATTAAAACATTTATTTTTGAAAGCATTCTTACTTTACAGCATTTCTTCACGCCTAAAACTTTTGCACAGTTGTGTTTATTTATATTTTATAGCGCACTTTCAGATTAGAGATTAATCAGTAATGTGTACAAAAACACCTTCACTGGGCATATGTTCTAATTAAAATATTTATTCAGTGTTGCTAATGCACCTTCTAAGCAATTTCCTTTGGAGTCTGTTTACAATGCAATGCGAGAAGAAAAACTGCAATTTACCTCTTGGAATACCAATCCATAGAATAAGAACAATCTTATAAAAAAATGAAAATAAAAAAATGCTAGGAGTCTAACAGGACATCTCGGCTAACATCTATCCACTATATCCATTCAACTCTCCACTCGCTTGCCTTCCATTTACTTCAGTACAGAGCATAGTCATGTCATGCAATAGTTTCCCCAAAGCAGAACTAAAGTCACCTTGCCTGTATCAAGGAAGCATCCACAAGTTACCTCCCAGATGCCTGTATCTTTGCCTTGTCTTCTCCCAGATTTGCCATCTCTGGCTTTTTTGGCTGGCACAGGAATGATGTAACTTCCACCAATCTGCAAGAAGTTCATTCATTCCAGAGCAAGGGGATGGCAAAGCATGTACACTGAGATGCGTAGCTTTCTGTACATTTTACAGAAGTTTGAACACAGGAAGGTAAAAAAGCTATTGCAAAAGAGGAATTAGCATGTCATTGTGAGAATTGAGGAGATTACAAAGACACAAGTACATATTGAACAAACAATTCTTCCATCCACATATTCAATGTGGATGAAGAAATCATCCCCATTGCACTACTGTATTCTGATAGCAGGGACTTCCCCACTGTCAGAATACACTGATCAGCACTGCAGCGCTGATCAAAGGAAAATTTTCTAACAAGCCCATTCATGAGCAGTTCAGTCGGTCCAAGACTGACTACTTTTGAATGGAAATGGCCATAGATGGGTTGAAACTTGGCTGGTCCCTGCTGACCTTCGATCCATCTAGGTCTAGCTGAAAGCTGTCAGACTAAACAAGCTTTGACACACTGATAAGATTGTTTACATTTACTTCACTGTAAACAATTCACTAACATATGAGACAGTAAAGCTGACCTAAATTCTTGCTGGGGGGGGGGGGGGGGGGGGGGAAATCCTCTAGGGATGACAGGTCCAGGCTCCAGTTGCCACTAGAGTACCAGCATCTTTCTCAGTGCAGGCTGCTGATGTTGCCCCTATGTGAAGGAGTTGCTTCATCCCTAGCACCCAACCTTGATATACACCACAATATACATTTAACATATTCATAGTACAGAATTGCTAGGAGTAAGATTTTTTTTTTTTTGCATGTTTTCCAGCAGCCTTCATCTTCTACTTTCCTTTTGTGTATGTACTGCAGTCTCAGTAATGGTAGATTTAGACATCCACATTTAGATATCTTTTCAAAAGGTGATTGACAGGCGGTGAGGAGGCAATGTACCACAATCATGTACATCAAGGATGCAGGGTGTCTGCAGTGCTTCCCCGTTGGTGGACTTGCCACCCGCCAACCTCAATGTGTTGAATAGTTTTTGCTGGGAGTGTGAAACAAAGCACAGCGACATGTAAACAAACCTGTCCCATACAATTTGCAGCTAAAATGGGGGGGGGGGGGGGGGGAAGTTAAAAATGTGGCTCACCCATGCATTTTTACACCCCCCCCCTCCCTTCTAAACGAGGCCCAAGGCACTCCCAGGAGTATCAATAGCCCTGTATCCCCTACTGTGTACCCTGGTTCCATCCTCAGACCAGCTATGTTACAGAATGACACAATAGTCTCATAAGGGTTGAAAGAGGGAGACAAAGCATACAGTGGGGTACTAATGCATCCAATGCTCCAAAAAGTGTGCAATGCCGAAGAGTTGTATGGAGTCCGCAACACTGGAAGATAGGGCCCACAGGAAACCTGGACCACCAGAGCAAACATTATAAAAGCTATTATATTGCAGGGCCTTACATCTGCCTGTTTTTAACCTGACGAGGTTGCTTTCATTTAAAGCCCAACTCCAGGAAAAAATTCCTTCTAAATAGTGCATTAATTATCTTCTCAGTCTTGATTCCAAACACCTCTTCCTAAGCCATCCTGAAGTGTAATGGATCAAAGTCAGATTCCCCTCTATGCGCAAAGCTAATATCCTTCCCTGGGAACCAGGTATTATTCCCCACTGATCTTCTTGGGTACTGGTTCTCCCACCAACCCCATGAGTTCTCCTGCCTTTGAGAGAGGACCTGGCCTCTGAAAGTGTTGCCTCCAACCAATAGGAGGTATCCACATCAAGCAGGCAGTAATGTGGACACCCAAAGAAGGAGCCCTGGAAATAAACAGAAGAGAGATGCTCATGTGGTCATCCAGTTAAAGTGGAACTTTTGCAGAAACTTAAGCCCTCTTCTGAAAGTAAGTATAGCTATGTAAAAACAGTTTAAAATCCAGTAATGCATTGTCACCATGCTCTCCACATGGTCAAATGCTCTATATTCTTGGCACTGTGCCTAAAATCAGAGCTACTAGAGGCCTTTCAGCTGACTGCTTTAAGATTTACTGCTGCTGAGGGGAAAGAAAGCAACAGGATAGACTGTGCTGAGAAAACACAGATTAGGGAGCAAAAAAAAAAAAAAGGAGGAGAGGTCACAGGACAAACTGATGCCAGGGAGACACAAAAGAGTTAAACTTAAGTTGACCATGAATGGATCAAACATTGGTTGATTCAGCAGGTACCAGCCAAGATTCATTCTGATTGTAATCAAGTCGGTTGACTTCAGTAAATCCAACCTGACTTTCTTTTGTGCGATCACTGCAAACGGCTATAGCCACCAGTAGTAATAATGTGTTCTGCTGTACGTTAATGCTCTACGCTGGCAGAACACAATAGCACTGCGGAAGAGATTCGACCACCAACACTGAATGTCCTAATGGGGGAATCAAGCAATTTTCTTTTCTGCAAACTGTGGCTCCTAGAAAGAAAATTGCATCATGTATAGTTTGCCTCAAAAGGATAGTCTCTTCTTTTATCTCCTGGATATTCTCTCCTTTCTCCCTCAGCAGCAAGAAGAAACAAGAGCAATTTTTCTTACCAGCAATTAAAGTGAAGTTCCACCCAAAAGGGGATGTTCCGCTTTAAGCCTTCGTCCCCCGCTCCCCATTAAGGATTGGCACCTTTGGGGAGCGGGTACCCAAATTTGACAGGTGCCCACTCCCACTTCTACTGCAATTGCCTAGCTGATCGGAAGCTGTCCTCCCTCCCCGCATAGTCTTCTGGGACACGTGACAGGTCCCATTCACAAAGTGCAGCACTTCTCACACATGCACAGTGGACACCTGGCTAAGAAGCTGCAAACTGTCACACTGAAGATGCCGGGGAGAGAGGACACCGCGGGACCGAGTGACAGCTAAGCGTCTGTATTTTAAAAGTCAGCAGCTATAGGTTTTGTAGCTGCTGACTACTTTTTTTTTCTTTTTCAGCTGGAAACTCAGTTTTAAAAGTGATTCTAAAAGTTATTTTTTTTTTAAATGAAATTATGTTATACTTACCTGCTCTGTGTAATGGTTGCACAGAACAGCCTTGATTCTTTTTATTTAGGTCCCCTGCCATTGGTCCTGGCTCTTTCCCCCCCACCCATTGCCCCCAATGGAAAGCCTCTTGCTATGGGGACCCTCGTACAGGCTCGCTCCCGAGAATGGATATTGTCCATTCACACACAGCGTTTGGCCTTAATGCATTCTGTTCATTAAGGTAAAAAAAAAAAAACCTTCTACATGAGCCCCCTCTCCCCTTATAGTTACCTGAGCCCGATCTTGATCCAGCGATATGCACTAGGGTAGCAGCTCTCCAAAATCATTGGCTCAGAGACAGCAGCAGGAACCATTGGCTTCCACTGCTGTCAAAGCCAGTGAGGAGGGAGCAAGGGCACACAGAGCTGGCTCAGGAGCAAGCACGCATGAGTGCCCCCATAGCAAGTGGCCTCCTATGGGGGCACTTGGCGGATGGGGGGGTGAGGATAGGAACAAGGAGAGCCAGTGGGGGACCCGAGAAGAGAAGAATTGGGGCTGCTCTGTGTAAAACCATTGCACAGAGCAGGTAAGTATAACATGCTTGTTATTTAAAAAAAAATAAATTAAAAAATGATCTTTTACACTCACTTCAAAAATTTTCATCATCTTTACATTTGCAGTTTATCAAAATAATTTCTAATGCTCCTGCCACAAAGGTACAACTGTTATAGGAGACTCACGTCACCCTGTAACAATCTCGCAATGGAGACTACAAGTGCCTGTGCTGAAACACACTGCAGAGGCCTTCCCTGCTGTTGTCACCTTCAGTAAACCCTCCATGAGAAAAGTCATACAGGAGTGCAGACAAAGTGGATGTGAAGAGACCGCAGGAGATCAGCAACACTGGTATGCAGCAAGTGAGCAGACATGCAAGACTCAAGATCAATCACATTACAAAAAAAAAAAAAAAAAAAGTTTCTGTAAACTAATGACTACAAAGATGAGTATTTCCATTGTTTAGCTTTTGGGTAATTTGTATTGTATAATCAGGCCACAGACAAGAGATCAGAAAATCACACACACACTGCATCAGAGTAAATCCTGCCGGCTGTCATCCGGTGAAGCCGTGCGATGTACACACACACAGAGCCAGGCCCGGTCCTACCTTTGTAGAGATTGGTGACAGCTGTAGCGGCGTTCTGGAAGGGGGCCCACAGTGACATTCCTTGCTGCTGGCAGACGCGATCTGTAACGAAGAGACAAGGCACTGCTGTGAATACAAACCGAAGGCCGGACTCCTCCGCCGCCACCATCGGCCATATTTGGCCGGCTTCGCCATTTTGATCAGCCCCGACGTTCCAATCTCGTAAATAACCGGCTGCCAATTAGTCACAATAAAAGGCCGCAGCGCCATTTTTGTTTTCGGCTGAACAGCCCTAATCCCCCGACCTTCCGCCGCCTCCTTCCGGCTGTCTAGGGGCATCAGGAGCCGGGAGTAAACACAGCTGTCATGACGGAAGGGCGTCCCTGGTGGGCGATGTGGGAAACGACACCCCTGGGGGGGCTGATAGGGACCGCTGTACACGCCCCGGGACACACATAGGTGGAGCGGACAGTAAACATGAAGGCCAATGACACTCCTCGTAGGTTGCTATGGGTTACAGCCTTGGCCTATACAAATCGAGGGTCAGAGGGCGGGGCTAAGTGCAGCTACTCCGGTACGGTCTTCCGCCATTTTGTTTTTTTTTTCCGGTTCGGTCGGCGGCCCCGCCGTGCCCCCTCCTCCTCCCCATACCCCACCCGGTTCTGACCTTTGTAGAGCTGAGCCACGGCCGTGGCGGAGTTCTGGAAGAGATGCCAGAGCTTCTGCTGACTCTGCTCGGCCTCCTCCTCTAGGGGCTCCTCCTGCTCGGCCTCAGCCAGACACTGGCGCTCCCATTTGGTGAACCAATGTTCGGGTCCGTGCTCCTGTATCTCGGCCTCACCCTCTTCTTTTTTGTCCTCCATTCTCCTCCACTCGGGCTCTTTCCTCCCTCCGCCCGTCCACTTGGAGGCGTCTCCTCCTCCCTGATTAAATCCGAGTTCCGTGACTGCGCTCGGCGTATCGATGCTCCGAAGGAGGCCCGAGAAATAGGCCGCCGTCTGTCCAACCCGGACGCCTACTTCACCCCCATGGCTCCTCCATCCTGATCTAAACAAACTGCCTCTCTGACGCCACTGCCCTAACGTTAATTGCTAGCTCGGCAGAACTTGCTAGCTGTCCGGCGCCGCCTACTACCGCCTTGTTCTTCGATCAGCTTCCGAGGGAACCGCCCACCCCGCTTCGGACTGCTAGGATTCGCTAAGACGATCCTGCGAACTTTTGTTTTCCATTGCTATTGGCGGTTGGCGCTGTACCTCATGGACGTCACACGTTGTGGGGCTAAGTTCAAGTTTGGTTGACAGGCGCGGAGAACAAATGTAACGCGCGTGCGCAGGTGACTGAGTCAGTTTGGTGCTGTGAGGGGCTGTGATTATTCCTGACAACTGTTATATTCAAAAGGAATAGTCTCAGTTTACACCGCTGTGCTGATATTTTCACACGAACATGCGACTGCTAATACTATTAATGTTCTGGGTGCTTTTCTTATTTGAGTACAAAGTAATATATCATTGCCGAGTAGGAAACTGTAATTGCAAAAATAAATATTTTCAACATTATCGATTACAGTAGAAATAAAGGCATTTTTTTCATTTTTTATAGAATAAGGCAGGGTTATAACCCCCATCAGGTTTTATTTTGCTTCCCGTGTCCCATTAAGGAGATTTTAATTCACTTCCTGTTCTATAGGCAAAACGGGAAGTAAAAGGAAATCCTTCGAAAGTGAGGGTGTCACCAGAACTAGTGTCCCCATTGGAAGATTTCCTCTCAATTCCTGTTCTGGGGACAGCCCAAAATTTGGGATTTACTTTTGGTGATACCAGGAAAAATTGGTTGAATTTCCCTGACGAGGGCACAGGCAGTAATAACAAATGACAGGTGTCCTAATCCATCTCCACTCTATCCAAAACTGGAAGAAAAGTAAAGTTACACTCTAAGTACCACAATTCGTATAAAGGAATATACATCAGACAAAAAAGAGGGACAACCAAAGAAAAATGAGGGACAGAGGGAATTGGATCTGAAGAATGACAGTCCCTTCAAATAAGGGACAACTGGGCATTGTGCATTGTATCTTACCCTGATTATTAATGTAGTGCTACTCCCTAAGGAGCTGCTGAATTTTGGGTCCCCCTATTTCCTGCACAGCCAAGCAACAAGCATATTTGGCAGCACACAAAATCAACAATCCAGTCCATGGGCTTGTTTTTGTTTTATTACAGGGAAAACAACTTGGATAGGGACTAGAGGTTATGGGATGCCGGACTTGACTAATAGAACGAATTGAGGACAAACTTCCTGCTTTTATGTACAAAAAAAGATGGATCCTGAATATTACTCCAGCTGGAGTGGTATGAGTCCCGTAAAACGATCAGTAGCAATAAGACATAAGGAGCTCTAGGTCCTCTTGGATGAACGTTCATAAAGTCCCAATAGCTGGCGAGGAAATGCCATTGCATCTGGCTGCTTTGAATAAGTGTCCCAGAGCAAGGGGTTAGGGTAGCTGTGACATTGTTCCCGTGAAAGCATGCTGAATTTTGTATCTGGCAGCCTTTTCCCTTATAGGCCCTGGGGGTGTAGAGAGGACTCAGTCTGTCCCTGGTGTCCTGCAAATTGGCATAAGACTGCTTGTTCAGGCCTTTTAGCTGTGCTAGTCTTCCAGGCTGAGCCCACTAGCTTCTATAATCTTCTGGAAGACTCCTGAACCAGGGGGAGGTGCCAGAGACCTGACCTGTAGAGCCCTCCAGCCTAACCTGAAGTAACCCAAACATATGCTCACTTTACTACTGTGAGCCACACTAAATTTACCTCTCTAGCAACCCTAGAGGATGCCACACTATTATACAGGATTTTTATAGCCCCAATGGTTTGTGCAGAGATTTACAAGTACAATACAATTCAGTACAGGAGGAATCAGGGCCCTGTTCGTTAGAATTCACAATCTAAAAAGTTAAAGTGACGTTTTCAGCCTCCTAATATAATCTAAATGGCAATTCCCTGCAATTACAGAACTGGTATATTCACCTCTCTAGCAGTCCATGCTTCATACCAGAGCTGCAGGCTCCTCCAGACTTCTGAGAGGGTCCAATGCCTGTTTCCACTGCCACTCACTGATGCCATCCTCCAACCTCTATGCCACCGCTGTGCTACAGGTAATGACAGAGTGTGAAGGATTGAACAGGGTGCAGTAGGAGACAGGGCCAGCAGAGAAGTGAGTTCTTCTATTGCAGGAAATTGCCATTTAGACGTTTTAACCACTTGCCCGCTGCTCTATAACAGAAATACTGCTACAGTGCATCAGGGCTGTGCTAAATCACATCTATCTATCTATCTATCTATCTATCTATCTATCTATCTATATATATATATATATATATACACACACACACACGTGATTTGTGTTTCCGCATAGGGAGCGTACACCATTGGCGGCTAGGGATGTCAATCAACGGGTCGCTGGCCAGAGATTCCCCACCGGCACCCAGCGATCGTCAGGGAAAGCTGACAGAGGAGAGACCTGTGTGTAAACCACACCGGTCTCTCTCTTGCCAGCAGGAGAAATACAAAGTAGCATGTCTCCCTAGTAAAACACACATAGCACATTATGTAAAACAGCACACAGTTAACCTTTTGATCACCCCAGATGTTAACCCCTTCCTGCCCAGTGTCATTAGTATTAGTGCTTTTTATTAGGACTGATCACTGTATCCGTGTCACTGGGGATGTCAGTACCAGTTAGTCAATTTCCACCCAGTGTCAGAATGCCCGCCGCAGTCCCACTATAAGTCGCTGATCACCCGCCATTACAAGTATAAAAAATAAAAATTCCAGTATATATACACCGCCATTTGTAGACGCTATAAGTGTCAATTAATTGACATGTATTGGGATTTGTGTTCGCAAAGACATGTACATTGCATAATACATTTTGGTCTAAATTTGACGAAATTTTACATTTTCTTATATGTTTTATAGCAAAAAGTAAAAATTATTGGGTTTTTTTTTCAAAATTGTCAGTATTTTTTTGTTTATAGCACAAAAAAATTAATTTATGTACAGTGTTGCATGACTGCGCAATTGTCAGATTAACACAGCGCCGTATCGCAAAAATGGCCTGGTCAGGAGGGGGAAAAAACCCCAGGAGGGCAAGTGGTTATATAATTGAAAAGGTCATTTAGGTAAATGGTTGCAAGCCATGTCACACTGTAATAGCAAATGACATCATCCAACAACAAAAAAATGTATAATATTACACGAAACATTTAAAAATGCAACAGCACATTATATTACCAACAAAACCATTTTACATTAAAATTGAACTTTAGTCAGAAAATTAAGTCCTGATAGATCACTTTACAATGGCCCTATTTGCAGGTATAGCTATGTAAAACCTTAATGATAAGCTCCTATAGTATTTAGAGCAGAACCTCACTCTTTCAATTAACATTGACTATTTTTAATCCTTTTGCTGCTAGCATTGGTAAATAGATAGGAAAGTATATCATATTTAGTTGTTTTAAGCTTTTTTTTTTTTTTACATAATTCAGTTACTTCCTAGTTTCCATGCCTAGACAAATGCCGTCATACAACCCAAGATTTTTCAGGAGGGGAGGAGGGGAGGAGGGGTATTCTCAGCTAAGCATAAGCACACCCTAATGCCTGCATACCTGAGCTATGGGCAGATGGATTCCAAGAAATAAATACTAAATGAATCATCTGCCCTTATTTAAGATGGTCACGACCAGAAATGATTGTGGGGGGGGGGGGGGGGATGTAAAAGGAGGGTTTAATGTGATTTCTCAGCAAAATAAAGTATGTTTTGCATAATAAAAATTAATTATGCAAACAGTGTTTCTGCTATCACCTTCCAGGATGGCACACCTGAGAGATGAGAGGCTCCTCCCTACCAGAAAACACAATCAATTTACAGCTGTTATAACTTCCCCTTGCCCCTCGGTATTGATTGTGTTTCTCCCTGCAATGGAATATTTGTTGTTTTCTTGTGACCAGAAGACCAGGGTGGGCAAATGGTAGGGGAAGGCTAAGGAGTAATTTGCTGTTTTCCTTAGCAGGCGCCAGCACCACAATAAAAAAATGACACCAGGATCAGGGTTGGGGGCAGCCTGTCACACTTTGTTTCCCAATGGGAGAGAATATCAGACAGCACATACATCTGTCAGTTGGCACAAGAAGGCTACTGCCTGGTGTTCTCAGCTTGACCCCCACAGATGATCAGCTTAACTCATCCTCCACGGGATGTTTTGAAAAAGAAAGCTCTCCAGGAAGGAGTTCAGGAGCTGGAGGAGCAGCAGCAGGTAATAGTGCCTGTACCAAAAAGTCAACACCAAGGATTTTACTCCCACGTGTTTGTTGTTTGCAAGCCCTCAGGAAAATACTGTCTAATTATAAATCTCAAGAGTCTGAACAAGTTCCTGGACTACAAGAGGTTTTCCATGGAGAGTGTATATTCTGTGCACAAGAATCTGCTGAAAGAGGCCTTTATGACAACACTGGACCTCAAGGATACCTATTTACACATTCCAATCCACCCGGAACATCAGGTATACTAGAGGTTTACAATAGGTATTGGGGAAGAAAACTCCCATTGGCAGTTCAGGGCCATTCCTTTTGAGCTATCGGCCAGTCCAAGGATATTTACAAAAGTCCTAGCCAAAGCAGTGGCACCTCCAGGGGATAACTCTGATCCCCTATTTAGCCAATCTCCTTATATTTGGTCTTTAAGCTGCCCAGGTGAAGGCAGACACTGGGAAGGTAATCACCACCCTGAAGATGCTAGGCTGGAGAGGAATAGTCACTGGAGCCAGAGCAGGTCAATACCTTTTCAGGTTACTTGGTGGACACGAGA